GAGACCTCACAGATGTACCGATTGCCTAGGGCTAGGACTTCTGTTAGAGAGCAGACAAAGGAGAAGATGGGCAGTAAAAATCCTGGAGTTGTCCAAGAGCTGAGGGGAAGACTGGAAAAGGTCAAACATGGAGAGTGTCTCGGAGGAGGGAGTGCTGCTAACGCCAGCGGAGCAGAGGCCCAGGCACGAAGGTTGGGAAAAGGCCAGGATGCCGATGGCCTTACTGGAATGTGATTCTCAGTCCAGCCAAATATGGCGGACTGCAGTAGAGAGATGAGTGACTGGGAGATAGAAAATATGGTGAGCAGTTAGTGTTGGTGAGTCTTTCAAGAAGTTTGGTAGTGAAAGAAAGGGATGAAAGCCAATAACTTGATGGGAAGCAGTTTATAGACTTGAGAGATGTGATTTATAGTAGGCAGAGAAGACTCAGGCATGGAAAGAGGGTACTAAGGAATTGAGAGAATTGAGTCAGCTGACCAAGAGGCATTTGGTAAGGAACTGGGTGGCCGTGGGCCCAAGTACCAGGTAAGGAGATCCTCAGAAAAGACAAGGAATGCATCCTCAGAGACACGGAGGAAAGAAGCCTGATGCATGGACGTAATTCTGTTTATAGGTGCAAAGATTGGAAAGTCCACGCTTGTTGGCCTCAGAAATCTGGGCACATCAGCCTTTTCTGGTAGTGGAGCGGCCGTGACCTGCAAGGTGTAGTAGTGGAGGTGTGTGTGTTGGACAACAGTGGTGGAAGAGAGTCCCTAGAATGAAAACTCTCCCCATTTCAGCAGATTAAGGGTAACTCCTCTTCATGAGTAGTAAATACTAGCTGCCAGGAGGCTTTTCAGTTCTGTTAATGAAAGCATTCTTTGAAGTCCCTGCCCTGTGGTAGGTCCTAGAAATTCAAAGATGTTTGGGGAGCTCATCTTCTTCACCAGGTGGCTGGGTGGCTTTTGGTGAGCTTCTTACGTCTGCAGCATCATCCGCTTTGTGAGTTGATGTGACCTATTTTTACTCTTCAACTCACGTTCCTCTGAGAGTGGGTAAGAGCTGAGATAATGCAGCCTTGTTTTAATATAAGCATTTAAAAATCTAATCTGGGAAGTAATTAAATTCCAGACTTACGTTTTTAAAAAGAGAATCTTTTATTACTCAAGGAGTATGTACTCAGTAGTATGTAGGCGTGTTATCATTGTAATAGTGCAGTGTGGACCGAAAGTTGAAGTCTCTCCTAGCCCCACCTCCCTCCGTGAGCTCATGGCTGTGTGTGCACCGTACTGCTCACCTTTGAAAAATGCATTTACTCCTGTGTGTGTCCACACTCAGATCTATAGTTGTAGCTTTTTTCTTTAACATGAAAGGCTCATACTCTTTGTTATTTTTTGAAATGGTCTCACGCTGTTGCCCAGGCTGGAGTGCAGAGGTGCAGTCCTGGCTCACTGCAGCCTCAACCTGCTGGGCTTTCGAGCCCACCCGCCTCACTCTCCTGAGTAGCTGCAACTACAGGTCACCACATGCGACTAATTTTTAAATTTTTTGGCCAGTGGGGTCTCATTTTGTTGCCTGACTGGTCTTGAACTTCTGGCCTCAAGATATGCTCCTGCCTCAGCCTCCCAAAGTGCTGGAATTGCAGGCACAAGCCACCCTGCCTAGCCTAATGGTACTGTTTAACTTGCTCTTTTCATTAAACAGCACGTCTCGGAAATGTTTCTTTGTAGGTCCAGTAAGTCTGCCTTCTGGCTGCATAAACATTTCCTCAGGTGGATGTGCTGTGATTTATGTAATATTCCTCTAACTGTGGATGTTTAGGTTGCTTCTTGTGTTTCTCTTGCCCTTTTCACAGTCACAAATGTGGACACACATGGACAAGCATTTCTTTAGGATGTAGGAGTTTGCTGGGTCAGCAGGGGTGTGTGGCAGAGGCTGCCAGATCACCCTCCCAGAGGGCTTGAGCACTGTGCACTCTGGCCAGAGCGCCTGTTTGCCCAGACCCAAGTGACAGCGGATATTAGGAATCGTTGAAATCTTGTTATGCCTATAGATGAGGCATCAGATTTCATCGTTGCTTGAGGTTAAGTCTCCTGAAATAGGGCCTTTGAAGCAACACATGTAAGCGGAACGCATTGAAATAAAGTTTTCAGTAAACTTTCGGCATATGTAAATATTTGTCAAAGGTACTTATTTAAAGCAAAGTACGCCGGGCACAGCGGCTCATGCCTGTAATCACACTTACAACATTTTAAAGCCGATATCTGGTTTCTTAGCAATCACAAGTTTGGGGGTTGTTTTTATCTACTTGTTCCAATTAGATTTTCCTCTAGAAACCTTTACTATAAACTAACGAAAAAGTCCCCCATGGCCGACAGACCTAAAGTAAAGCCTGGGCAGGGAAAAGAGTAGGGAGGAGGAGGGGAGGGAAGGCTGGTTCTGCCATCCTCCTCTGCCACCTGCCAGTGTCGTGGAGGAAACATGCCGAGAAGCACCTGCAGCGTGCTTTTCTGCCTATCGTTTTTCCATTCAATAAGGAGTTTTCAGGTGTTCCTAGAGCAGTGTCTACTTCTTAGGTCTCTGACCAAACTCAGGCTCAAGAAGCAGGCTGTGGAACTGCTGGTTAGCAAACGCTTTCAGTAAACTGACTTTCAAAGTGGGGGAAGTGGGACTTGTTTAATGTAGAAATCTCCATACACAGCCCATGTCTGTGTCTGATCTTCTGCCATGGCTCATTCCAAAACCCAGCTTGTCTTTCCAAGTAGCCTAGACAGAACAAGTTTTTACAAGTGCACATTGAAGGTACATTGAGAGAATACCCAGAATGTGTATGCCCTTTCACAGAGGAAGTAAGGTCATTCTTAGCAGAGTGGTAATTCCCCACAATTTACTGGAAGCGTCTCTTGCTTCCTAAATTACTGTTTTATGTATACCATCTTGTCTCAGTGGTTCCATAGTTATTTGGAATTCTTGTTACCTTTTTTTTTTTTAAGTGAAAGCAAGTTTATTAAGAAAGTAAAAGAATGGCGACTCCACAGGCATAGTGGCCGTTACCTTTTAAACCTCAGAGTTTGTAGCTATGAAAAGAAGGAAGAATGAACTGAACAGGTTGAGGAATGTGCTGAGGCTCACACAGTTCACAGGCATAGAGTCCATTTACACTTCGCTTTTGAATTGTTAGAAGAAAAAAAAGCTAACCTAAATCTTAATTTCATTCAGTTTGTCATGTGGAAGCTTGTCATTGAGAATACTTAATGGACAATGGACAAGTTTCCTGAACCAAACTGTATAAATCAAGTATGGTGTGACACAGGCCTGGAAGCCAGCAATTCTGAAATTGGAATCCTGGGCTTAGAACTGAATCCTTCCCTGGCCTGGGGCAAGTCATTTCACATCTTACCTCCCTTTTTTGCCATCTATAAAGGATAAATACTTCTGTCTCAGGGATGTTGAAAGGATTAATTAGTTAGTCTATAAAGAACTTTGAAGATGAAAAGTACTTTAAAAGTGCTTCTTAATAACATTATTGCTTAGAAAAGAGTTTCACTTTTATGCTAACCACTTTATGTCTCAAATTCTATAAATAAGGTATGTTTAGTACATTACTACGAGTTGTAAACTAGAGATACATTTCTCATGGTGTGAACATCAAACATTAGCTTCACAGTTTCAAAGGAGCATCGCTTTGTCTTAGAGATCATTTAGGAGCTGTGTTCTCCTCAGTAATTAGTCACAAAGATCACATTTCAGGGAAAAGGAGACCCTTTCAAACAGTTCAGGCTTTTTTTTTTTTTTTTTTCCCAGTCAGGTTTCTTAGCACTCACTTTAAAGGGCTGCATTGAATTTGGTCTGGGCAGGGAGGGCGGGAGGCAGATATATTGTTTTTGAGGAGAGAACAGAGTAGAAGAGAACCATGTTCTTTTGTCTTCCCTCTCATCTCTCTTAATCTTCTCAGGGGATAGGAATCTATTGCTTTAGCCATTTCTAGAAAAAGTTAACTGTTTAAACTTACTAAAATATAAGCCTAATATCATTAGGCTTAATTCAGTGTATTTCCCTCTAAACCAAGTTAACCAAAAGGGTCAGTGTTCTAGTTTATAATAAAACATGATTATAACCTGCAGTGAAGTTTCATATAACTGGTACAATACTCATATTCTTTATTGGAAAGCAGAGGAGGGGCTGTGTTAATTATACAGATGACCGTGAAATGCAGGGTGCAGCAGACTGTAACAGAGACATAGATAAATAGCCTGGAAGAATTTGGAAAACGTGATCAAGAAGTGAAGTGAGATTTAAATTTGGAATAAAGTATGTCAGAAAGAGTAAGTCAAGTAAGAAACTAAAAGGAAAAATACCTGGAGAGAGAGCAGTGGACAGAGCTGAATCCGGCAGAATTTACCCAGAGTGTGACCGCTTTCGTTTTCTCTCAGCGTAATCAGACAGATTCATGTTTCAAGCTGTTCATGCTGTGGGATGATGGCTTGCAGGCTATGGAGCTAAGACTGAGTGAAGGAGAAGCCAGAATTATCATAGCTCTTCTCTGTGGCTCGACCTGGAGAACTTAATTTGTGTTTGTTCCTCTGTAAAAGGTGGATGAGTGGCTAAAATACTCACATACCTAATTTGTGCCTTAAATGTATCATTAGATCATAAATGCCAGTGACCATTATAATCAACTAGGTGCTTCAAAAGTAGATTGCTCTTTGCATTTGGTCTTCAGAAATACGTTTTATTTTAGTAAGGTAAGTAGCAGCGTTGAAGTGTTTGGTACTGCCACTTAAAATAGTAAATTAGTGGATGGGTTTTTGCCAGCCATTGTTTTCCAGTCTATCTCTTGAATACGAATAATGACTCTTTGAGTGCACCTAATTCTTTCAATTTTGTGCTAAAGGAAGGATATTTTCTGTTTACCACATGTGTAAACATTTTCCTTTGTGATCAATTCTAATCAAAACTTGTTTCAGATGGCAAATTAAAACATAACTGACTAATTCGGTGTTCTTTTAAATTTCCCGTAGCAAAACCCTTGAGGATCGTTTGAAGATTGAAGCAAAAAATGGGACGTTGAGTGTATCTGATACCACTGTTGGCAGCAAACAGTTGACATTCACATTAAAGAGGGTGAGTTGTCTTTTATTGTTATTTTTAAATTCACAATAGGCTTTCAATAGTGTTTTCTGTGTGTGTCCCCAGAGCAGCCCTCTCATGCTTTTCCCCTATTGTGGAAGCTCTGTTCCCTTTTCTAGCATGTTCCCTGCAACCAGAGCCCCTAGCAGGCCAAATGTGTGACTGCAGCAAAGTGTGAAGTGTCACTGGTGTCCCAAGGGAGGCAGGGACTGAGTAGCCCTGGAGTTAGCTGTATTGGAGATGAACCAGCTGTCTTGGTTTCTGGATTGCTGTGTGGCTTGAGGCGCAGCTTTGTAAAGCAAAAGCCCCGTCCTGACCATCTAAGGGTGTAGGGCTACCTCCTGTGTATGTGGACTTTGAAGAAGATGAGGAATTAGCAAGTTCTGATGCCCCATGATGGTTATGCCCAACTTGCCCAGATCCTGTCATTTTAGAAGACAGACCATTCTGCCAGTGCTCATCCTATTCTCAGCTGGTTTCTAAGACCCTTTTTTTTTTTGAGACGGTGTTTCACTCTTGTTGCCCAGGCTGGAGTGCAATGGCACGATCTCAGCTCACTGCAACCTCCACCTCCTGGGTTCAGGCAGTTTTCCTGTCTCAGCCTCCTGAGTAGCTGGGATTACAGGCATGTGCCACCATGCCCAGCTAATTTTTTGTATTTTTAGGAGAGACAGGGTTTCACCATGTTGACGAAGATGGTCTTGATCTCTTGACCCACCCGCCTCGGCCTCCCAAAATACTGGGATTACAGGTGTGAGCCACCGCGCCCAGCCCCAAGACCCATTTTTTTAACCAGAGGTAATAATGCCCGCCACACATTGTAGTGTCACACACTGCGTAAGTATTTACTGTTAACTAGATATGGTTTTATTTCTCAAATCTTTTTCTCATTCATACTCAGTCCTCTTTAATAGAGTCACCAAATAGAAAAGAATGACCAAGATTTCATCCTTTTTTTTTTTTCCCTAAACAGTAGTGGGGAGATTATTATTCTTTTTTAAAATTGAGATATAATTCACAGACCATATGCATTCTTGTAAAGTGTACAGTTCAGTGGTTCTTAGTGTGTTCACAGAGTCGGGCAACCATCACACTAACCCATTCTAGAACATTTTCATCACCCCAGAAAGAAGCCCTATACCCTCCAGCATTTCCCCTCATGTTTTCATCCCCCAGCCCCTGGCTACCACTAATCTATCTCCTGTCTCTATAGCTTTGCCCTTTCTGGACATTTCATACAAATGGAATCATTCAATATGAAGTCTTCCGTAACTGGCTTCTTTCACGGAGCATAATGTTTTCAAGGTTAATTCATCCAGTGGTGTAGCTGGAATCAGAATTGCATTTCTTTTTATGGCTGATGAATATGCCATTGTATGTTTACACCACATTTTGCTATTCATTCATGTTTTAAGGGACACTTGGGTTGTGTTTTGTGTTCCTCTGGGGGAAGCTATTAATGATCGGCTATGGAAATTAATGTGTAAGTGTTTGCATGAACCTGTGTTTTTATGTATCTCAGGTCTATACTAGGAGTGGAATTGTTGGGTCACATGGTGTAGCTATTTAACTTTCTGAGGAACCTATTAGACTGTTTCCCAAAGCAGCTACACCATTTCACATTCTCAGCAGCAGCCTGTGAGGGTGGCAGGTTTTCCGCGTCCGTACCCACACCTGTCGCTGTCTGTCTTTATTGTAGCCATGCTAGTGTGCGGTGCTGAGTGGTGCTGTTTGGTTTGCAGTTCTCTGATGACTAGTGATCTTGAGCATCTTATCACGTGCTCGTTGGCCATTTGTGTATCAGCTCTGGAGAAATACCTCATCACATCCTGTACCCATTCATCTCTGATCTCCCTCAAATTCTCCCAGCCTGCATCCAGGAGACTTGCCAAGTGATAAAAACACTTCATTATTCTAAGTGCAAAAAGCTTTTCAGTTAATTCTGCCTGCTGAGAGCAAATTTACCCTCTTACATTGATCACTTAGGTAAGCCAAATAGACATTCAGAGGGACCCCACGGTGCCTGTTCCTAATTTTGTGTCAGTTTTCTTTATACCGGGAAGCATTTCTTGATTCCCTCTGAAATTCAGGTGATGTCAAGTGGGCGTGAGCAGCATAGCCTGCAAGGACCCCAGATCTGCCGCACAGCCCCTCAGCTGCAGACGCCCCTCTGTGGGGTTCACGGGCACCTACTTTGTAATAACATGAAAATACAAGCCTTTTCCCACTGTTTTCTAAATTGGAAGGTACTGAGATGAAGATCGGTCTAAAATTTATGGTAACATGAAAATAAGATGGCTCCGAAATTATATTTTTGTTTATAAAAATAGTATTAAGAATTGCTTCAAATGGCTTCATAACTGAATCAAGCAGAGGCTCTGAAACTGTTTTGAGGAATGTGTCAACGTTTGATGTACGTGTTTCCTCACTTGACATTTTAGTTATTAAATCTCAGTTTTACTTGAGTAAGTTTCCAATAAATTGTACGTATTCAGGCAGTTGTTCATACAGTTCTCTTTATACTGCAAGTCTGATATGCTCAGGTAGAATCTTGAGTTTTTCCCGTATTTATGTATTTACCTTCTAAAACGTCAGTAAAATTCAAGAGGAACAATCTGTGCTTTAACGTTGTCTAAAATTGTATAGTGACAAAACTCTGATTCAGTCCCGAATCTCATTTTTTTTTTTTTTAGTCAGCAAGTCAGTAACTAACACCCAAATCTGATTTTTAACTGCTGTTTAGTATAGTTTCTCTTCAAGGCTGAGGCTGTTTAACACAGGTGTGCCGGTTTCCACCTGTCCTCCTCCCTCTGTGACAGGAGTGCTGGAGGCTGTGGGGAAGTAGTCAGGTGGAGGAGGCAGCAGACCTGGGAGAAGCACTCCCACGCCCAGAGAGCCTCCTGGACCCATCACATGGCAGCAGGGTCTTCCGGATGCAGCCTTGGGACAGAGGCTAGTCATAGTCCTTTTTCTACAGGAACAATAGGCACTGCTTACAAGCTCCTCTCGGAGCCCCTACCTTGGTGGAGAAAGTCTGGCAGAGCTTCCCAAAATGTGTTCCAGGAGATGTAAATAGCAATCCTGGAAGGTGACTTCTGCCATCAGACAGATAAGGGAAAACCTTGGAATTGATGTCCATGATGAAGACTCATGAGATGCCTTAACTTAGAAGCTCCACACACCTTGTTCATCTGTAATTAATACATGTGTATTGATGCTGCCTGGTGCTGCATGCTGGGGACAGACATGGCTCTTGCCATCACAGTTCCCAGTCTATTAGGAGAGAGAGAGAGAGCGGGTAAAAATTATATACCTCTAATTATATCATTGGAACTGTGGCAAGTGCTTCAAAGGAGAGCAGAGGGCCGTGAGAATGTTTGGCAAGGCACCCAGCTTTGCAGTTGCACAGGACTGAACTGACATAGTATTTCTATTTTTAAAAAAGCCTTCTGGCTGTTGCATCGAGAGTTGCCTCAAAGGGTATTTGAGAGGAAGCAGAGACCTCAAGAAAGGCAGCTCCGTGGCGGCCTTGGTTAGGAAGGACGGCAGCTTGGGCTCAGGCAGGAACCTCCGAGATTGACCACGGTGGAGGAGTTTGGGACACACTTCGGAAGAATACACAGGCCAGGATTTACTTTGAAAAGACAGTTGAAGAATGGTAATAGTCAGAGAAGGGACTTAAAGAATTATTCAGAAACCCAGTTTAAGAGCTTCCTAGAATCAGAAAAGTTATTATTTGTTTTTTGACGTTACAAATTCCTTTCCTTCCCCAGTCTTCTCTCACTTCCAACTCTTTAATTTAAGAAGATTGGGTGATATCCACAAGAGGTGAATGTGGAGACTTTTCCTCAAGCATGACACACAGGTGCATGTGTTTAGCTGTGTAGAAAATGCAGATCCCCATGAGGCAGGTTCCCTGGGTGTCCATAGGGCAGTGCTTTTCCGCTTTGTCAGCTGAGGCCCCTGCCAGCGCTGTCTCTGTTTACCGTCTGTACAGTGCCACCACTAAGAATGTTGTTTCTGACCTTTACATTCAGGAGTTTGTATTTTCAAAACCATCAAGTGTGTTTTTAAAACCATATAACTCTTACCTTTATTGTGGATTCTGCCTTGATACTCTTCTAAGAATTTCTGCTGAAAGGAGTTAAAACTATTTGGCGCCAGGGATGGGTTAGGGAGGAGCTCTAGCTCCCGTGTGAGAGAGGACACACGTGAGCACCTTTCCAGCAGGCAGCCCAGAGTCCGCGTGCTCAGTCGGCTGAGAACTTGTGCATGGTCTGCTGAGCTTTTTTCAGTGATTCATGAGAGCAGTTTGCTGCTTTTAAGGAGAGGTGGAGTTTTGGGAAACCGCTAAAAATGCTTTGGAACAAGTTCTAGTGAATGAGGGCTTGAGTGTGGATAGTAATGTACTTGTAGTACATTTAAGTATTTTTTCTTTTGTTTTTAAAAACAGTGAGAATAAACTAATAGCTCTAGTTTGTAAACAAAGACCTCTAAAAGGAAAGTGGACACTGTAAGCTATATCATCTTCTTAAGGTGGCTCTTCTTTAGGCCCTTTTAAAACATACCAGTGTTGTTGCAAGTGTGGTGGTTGAAAAACCAGTCTCCTGCTTTGTAGTCAGACTGGTCTATCGGGCCCTTCTCTTGCCTGGGGTTCAGAATTTCTGCTTTTGCATGGATGGTGAAAGTTGGCCTTGGTCCTGCTGTTTCTGCCAAGGCAGCATTTGCCAGAGCAGAGTTCCGTTGGCCCCACCATGTCCCCTGGAGCCCGTGGGCAGCGTTTCTCCTGAGAGCAGGTCTGAGAGCAGGTGGTAGTACTGTTGGCATCCTGATGGTTACCAGAAAAGAGGTACAGGATTTCCTCTCCTTCCTTCTACTCATTTAATTTTCTCTTTTAGTCTGAACAGCAGAAGAAGCAACAGGAGGCTGAGAAACTGCATCGACAAGAAAGGAAAAGACTCCGCCGTTCAGCCGGACACCTGAAGTCAAGACACAGAAGAGGACGGTCATTTCATTGATTTTGGAAGTGATCCTGCCTGTGATTAGGGAGGGGTACAGCTCCCCCAAACTGATCATCATTAAACACAGACAAGGGAACACACATTTTTAAAGTTCCATTAGAGTTCCTTACCTTTGTAAGGAAATTCTCATACACAGAGGTAAAGATTTGAAAATCTGTGCCTTGTGGATTAGACTTTGAAGCTGGGTCTCAATGACTGACCGCTGCGTGGCCCCAAGGGTGCGCTTGTAAGTCACGGCTCTATAAACGTCATTTTCCCCATCATTTTCATCATGTAAACCAGGTTTTGTTTTTTGTTTTTTTAATGTTGTGAAATGTACACCATGAAATGAAAGGTTTATCCTGTGCCAAAACTCAAGATTGATAATGCTCTAGGAACTTACTGCCTACTGCCATTCATGATTAAATCATCCAGAAGTACCTTCCCTGTTTTCCCTGGTGTCTCTGTGTTCCCTGGGTGTGTTTATAACTGCATGTTGATAGGTTTCTCTGGCTTGTTTATTAGTTTGGGATTTGTTTTTAAATAGTTTATACCAAGAGAGTATAATCTAATTGTACAGGTTAAGAGCATCCCAAAGCCGAAAATCTAAAACTGTTTGAGTACTGTATTTGTCTGTTCTCACACTGCTGTAAAGAACTGCCAGAAGCTGGATAACTTCTTAGTCAAGAAAAGAGATAATTGACTCACAGTTCTGCAGGCTGTACAGGAGGCGGGGCTGTGGAGGCCCCAAGAGCTTACAGTCATGGCGGAAGGTGAGGCGGAAGCAGGCACGTCCTACATGGCTAGAGCCGGAGGAAGGGGGCAAAGGAGGAAGTGCCCCACCTTTCAAACAGCGGATCCCATGAGAACTCACTGTCACAGAACAGCAAGGGGAAGTCCGCCCCCATGATCCCATCACCTCCCACCAGGCCAAAGATGACAATTTGACATGAGATTTATGTGGAGACAGAGTCAGACCATCTCAAGCACTGACTGACTTTGGAGGAAAATGCTCATTAGAGCATTTCACCTTTTGGATTTTCAGATATGGGACGCTCGACCCAGTAAATATAATACAAATATTCTAAAACACAAAAAAATCCAAAGTCTGAAAGACTTCTGGTCCCAAGCATTTCAGATAAGGGATACCCAACCTGTAATAATGGGAAACGAGTGATGGAGGCTGCTGGTTAATCTTGGCACAAGTTTAATTATAGGGTCCTTTTTTTCCTGTTCCTTAAGTATAGTCAGACATAAACTTAGTGGAGGAAACATTTATAAAAATAAATACTTTCATTTGAATAGCTTCTTTGACAAAGACTCCAAGAAAGCTTTCTTTTATTTAGACAAATGGTGATGTGCACTGGTAGTCCCAGCTCCTGGGGAGGCTGAGGTGGCTGAGCCTGAGAAGTTGAGGCTGTAGTGCACTGTGATCACACCACTACACTCCAGCCTGGGCGACAGAGCAAGACCCTGGTCTCAAAAAGAAAAAACAGAACCAACTTTGGTTTCCTTAGTTTTTCCAGCATTGATATGATTTTCGAGGTACCTTTGTAGATTTTTTTTTTTCTTTTTGAAATCGAGTCTCTGTCGCCTCGACTGGAGTGCAGTGGTGCAATCTCGGCTCACTACAACCTCCTCCTCCCAGGTTCAGGTGATTCTCCTGCCTCAGCCTCCTGAGTAGCTGGGACTACAGGCATGTGCCACCACACCCAGGTAACTTTTTTTATTTTTAGTAGGGACAGAGTTTCACTGTGTTAACCAGGATGGTCTGGATCTCCTGACCTCATGATCTGCCCACCTTGGCCTCCCAAAGTGCTGGGATTACAGGCGTGAGCCACCATGCCCGACCCCACCTTTGTAGATTTTTAAGGTTCATTATGTACAACTGAAATAGTAACTCTTTAAACTGTAAATGGTACAGCCTAACTTCAAATGTCATAAGCCAAGAGGCAGATGCGTTAATTTACATAACCATGCTTGGGATGTGGAACCAGCCTCAGGAACACCTAGATCCAGACCCTCACATTTAGTCAGCTAGCCCGTGCTTCTGTCTCTCCTTCCCCCACTGCCCACACTCCTCCTCCTGTCTCGTTCCTTCTCTCTCCAGGTCTCCCCTGCTCTCTTTTCCTGATGTGTTTCCCTTCCCCCTGCCTTTGTTGTCTGTGCTGCTTCTGCTTTTCTGCAGATTGGCCGTGTGTCCCCTTCTGTGGTCCAAGAGATGAGCTCTGTTTCCAGAAAAAAGGTGTGTGAAGGGTGGGGAATGTCTGCATGTTCTTGTTCCTGGAGCAGCCACCCCCATTTGTGCTGCGGTACCAGGGAGTTCCCCAGCTGTTCCAGCCCCTGGACTGGCGCGGTCCTTCCTCAGCTTCTTTCCTCCGAAACCCTCCATCAGTGCCCACCTTTTCCTAAAGGAAGGGGCTTCAGCTTCCTGTTGCCTTATACTCTGTTCCCACGCTTCTTCCTTCAGGGATGGGGCGCTTTAGAAGTTTAGAGAGGGACACTTTGCTGGCTGGAATGTCCCCAGGGGTTGGGTGCTTTTGTCCTTGGCCTGCTTCCTAAGGTTAGGCTCTGTCATGTCTACTCCTGGCTTTTCCAGGCCCCTCTTTTCCTTCTTGAAGGGCCTCCTGGTTCTGTGGGGAGCCAGTATTCGCAGGATCAGATTCCACAGGCCGTGGTGCTCCATTCACCCAGCGCGCTCATCAGAGTGGAGGAGGAGAGCCAGGATCACGCCCGGGAGGCTGGCAGTGTAGTAGAAAGAGCTTGGGTTTGGAACCACCCTGGCGCAGGGTTGAATCCCAGGTCTGTTGCCTACTATTTCTGTGTCTTTTGACTGTTCCCTTCATCTCTTTGAATCTAATTTCTTCCTGAAGGTCAGTCTAATACTTAGTTTTTATTAGGGTAAAATGAGGCACTTACATTAGGTACGGCACCTGGCACTGTGCAAAGCTCATGAGGACAAAGCTTCTATAATATTGAGGGTGTCAAGAGCAGGGGAGGTGCCCTCCACTTTTGTGCTGCAGAGATGCTGAAGGGCAGGCGGAGGGACTGCGTGGAGTCTGAGGGACGCAGAAGGAGAGTCTGCAGCTTTGTGAGCGCTCCTCCCAGGCCCCGCCTTTCCACCTCATTGCCCTGGGTTTCCTACCGATTCAGCCCTGACCACAGGCCTGCCTCTTCAGAGCTGATTCCCAAAGTGCCTGCTCTAGTCATACGGGTCTTCAAAGTTTTCTATTTTCAAGTTTTTTGTTTTTGTTTTTGAGACAGTCTCGCTCTGTTACCAGGCGCCAGGCTGGAGTGCAGTGGCGCGATCTCGGCTCACTGAACCTCCCCTCCCAGGTTCAAGCAATTCTGCCTCAGCCTCCCGAGTAGCTGGGACTACAGGCACTCGCCACTACGCCCAGCTAACTTTTGTATTAGTAGTGATGGAGTTTCTCCATGTTGGCCAAGATGGTCTCCATCTCTTGACCTTGTCATCCACCTGCCTCGGCCTCCCAAAGGGCTGAGATTACAGGCGTGAGCCACTGCGCCCAGCCCCTTGTTTTCAAGTTTCATGCATATACTCTGTTTCAAGTTTTATACTCTACTCTGTAATTTTTCCATGTGTGTGATACGATATTCACTAGCCCTAGGAAATGGCCATTTCCCCTGGGTCTCTGTCTCAGGCACGCCCACCTGGGGGTGTTCATGAGCCAGTGCGAGAAGCGTTTCCTCACAGACGGGGCTCTGAGGATATGGCTTTTACATCAGGACCAAGCTGAGAGGTCCCAGGCTGCCATTTCTGCCCTTCCCTGCTCCAGATCCCCTCAGGCTCCGACACCTAGATCTAAGGCCCAAGTTGGTTTTCTCCAAGTTGTGCTCAGAAGTTAGGGTAGTGGTGGCTTTGGAGAGAGGGGAACGCAGCTGGGAGGGATGAGATGGGGGCTCCTGGTTGGTCCTGTTACCTCACCGGGTGGTGGCTTTTCCCATGAGTGCACTTTGACCACTCTTGGGCTACTCACGACTCATGGGTTGTGCTTGTCCTTGAATAGAAAGTTCCATTGGAGAAGAATTGCTTTATCAAAGGAACATGTTTCATGGTTCCTAACAAACCATTTCCATAGATAACTCATAACAGTATAAAGTCACGTTTTTTCAGATATTTTTCTGTTCTGTGGACAATGGTAGACACATCTGCTTTAATAATGCAAATGGGATCACGCTATATATGCTATTCCTGAACTTGATGTTTTATAACTAACAATATGTGAGTGATATTTTCCCAAGTCCGCACATATTAATGTATAGGGCGGCCTACATCATTCTTTTGTATAGCGTATTTTATTACATGGCTGATCCATAATTTATTTGTCTGCCTATGTATGGTTCAACCTAAAAATCTAAAGAAATAACCTTTTAAAAATCTTTTTTCAAAAACAAGTTACATTCAAGGGCTTCTTGGTGAGGTAGGCACACTGCACACTGGTGGGGAGGTGGTGTTTTTTTGTTTGTTTCTGTTTTATGAAACAGAGTCTCACTCTGTCGCCCAGGCTGGAGTGCAGTGGTGCAATCTCCTCCTTCCTGAGGTTGGCTCACTGCAACCTCTGCTTCCCAGGTTCAAGCGGTTCTCCTGCCTCGGCCTCCTGAGTAGCTGAGATTACAGGTACCCACTACCACAATCGGCTAGTTTTTGTATTTTTAGTAGAGAGGAGGTTTCACCATGTTGGCCAGACTGATCTTCAACTCTTGACCTCAGGTGACCCGCCCACCTCGGCCTCCCAAATTGCTGGGATTACAGGCATGAGCCACCACACCCGGCTAGTTATTTCCATCTTTATGACCATGTGTACCCATAAAAATCATTTCTATATTAAGTATAACCCAAGTTATGTTTTAAATGAATGTAGTAACTTTGTAAAACATCTGTGTATAGTAAAACAATGGAAATGTCATTTCAGTTATTTTCTTTCTTTTTCTTTGTTATATGGGGCTTGAAAATTTTCACTCCAAAAATAAAAAAAAAGTAAATAAATAAAAATAAAAGATAATTTTCACTCCAGCAATTGGAATAGAGTTTTAGCTTTTTTTTTTTTTTTTTTTTTTTTTTGAGATGGAGTTTTGCTCTTGTTGCCCAGGCTGGAGTACAATGGCACAATCTCGGCTCATTGCAACCTCCGCCTCCCGGGTTCAAGTAAGTCTCCTGCCTCAGCTGGGATTACAGGCATGTGCCACCACACCCAGCTAATTTTGTATGTTTAGTAGAGATGGCGTTTCACCATATTGGTCAGACTGGTCTCAAAATCCTGACCTCAGGCAATGCACCCGCTTCGGCCTCCCAGTGTGCCCGGCGAGTTTTAGCTTCTTTTATAGTCATCATTTGTCAGAAAAGCAGAAACAAATACTACATAACATATTTTGTTATTTTTGTTACGGCCTGTCCAGTACTCTCCCCTCCACCCGCTTG